CCTGTTTGTTAAAATTAAAGGAATTAATTTATGTTTTTTTTTATATTTTGAAATTGGGATTCGCCTTTTCATACTCATTTATAAATTATAAGTTTTAGGTGAAATACCTACATGATATTATTAATAAATTGCTATATTTTTTTATATTTAATGTAAATCAGAAATGAAACAATAATGACAAAAAATGCTTAAAAATAATACCAAAACCAGGAAAAACAAATAAAAAAATGTGCTTACAGATCCTTACGTATATTTTTACTCAAAATCAAATAAATCTTTGGCACTGACATATACGTCTTCATCATACCTATATATTTATGAATAAACATTATCATCATTATGTCTTACATAATTACAAATAGTCAAAACCAGCCTCTTTGCAAATATTTTGAATACATCGATTTAATTGCATTTAATTTATGAAAGTTAAAGAAGGTTTAATTGTTACAATATTTTGAGGAAACTAAAAAAACAGTGATAAATTGGAAAAAATAAAAATTCTAAAAGAGTATCTCATATGACCACACTTATGACACTAAGTAATTTTTTAAAATTTTAAATTGATTCCAACTCTTACCGTCGTATTTTTAAACAAGAACAAGTAATTACTTTGTTGCTAAGTAGCAAAGTCATTAATTCGACACTAAAATTCTTTAATAAAACAAATGTCTAAGCAATATCTAAGAGTTAACCATAAATAAATTTAAAGATAGTATATAAAAAGCACTTATTAAAAAAAGTGTCTGGTTATATGACAGACAATAATGCTTGGGTTTGAACTGTTTCAATCATTCCAACAGGTTTTCTATATTAAATAAATCATTATTGTATTGACGTTGTAACAACAATGATTTGTAAATGTTACATTAGACTTTTAATGTTGTGGAGTTTTTTTCGTTCGTTTTTCTCTGCAGCTAAAAAATATGTCCTTAACGAGTGGTAGGGAAAAAAATTTTTGGAAGATTCAAAAGAGTTGTATTATACATCTAATTTGAATAAAATTATATTGATTTCTGATTTCTGAATGATTACTTAGTAACGAAAATGGTAACTATTACTTGCTTATAACTCGCGCCAATCAAAAAACGAATCGCAAATGACGACGTTAGACATTTTGTCCCTCTCCCACATGCTATCCTAAGTAATGTACGAAAAAGACAGAATGTTTTCCGTCGGCATTTTCGATTCGTTTCCTTAATGGCACGAGTGATAAGAATTCTCATTTTTGACAGTTCTAACTTGATCAATATCTTAAGTATGAAATGAAAAATGTCGGTAAGTCATTACTTAAGCAGAAGTAATAAATATTTCCAACACTCACACCAATTAGCCTAGCCCCAAAGTAAGGTGTTATGCGATACTAGGGTAACGAATAGAATACATATATTGTACATATATCAGTATATTTATATAGAAAGACATATTAAACATCCATGACTGGAGTACAATGCTCGTATTCATTACACAAACATCTGCCCCCACCGGGATTCGAACCCGGGACCTCTCGAGTAGGAGACACTTTGTAACCCAAGGTACAAACCACTCGGCCACGGATGTCGTCAAATTGCAGTAATGTCTGTCTTTCAAAAATACGACGGTTTTATTTTCAAAAATAACTTAAATAAGCATTTAATTTAATTGCAGTCTCTGAGTGTGGTCAATACTCTTCACCTCATGTAAGTACATATCATACCCTTAACCACTCAACATTAAGCTGGGTCCGGAGTATCTTGTTTACTAACAATAATTTAACTTCACACATTTTATTAACATCAGAAGCTTAATTACGTGATATGCAATCGTTGCATCACTTTAAAATCACAAATAATTTAATCAAACAATTCTCATATATAAAAATATACATTATGATTTATTGCTGTGAAAATTCGTGAGACACAACAAATAAAGACAAATCCAACCTTATTTCAGTTGAAATAAGGCTGAATTTGATGTTAAGGAAAGCATCAAAAAATATATTACATCTCATAGTGCCTTTGATTTAAGTATACGCAACCCCAACTATCGCAAACTATCAAATCTATTCAACAAACAGAGAAATTTCACTCTAAGTGCCTAAAAATAAAGCTTTATTTCATATAAAATAAAGGTTTTGTACACTGCCAAACTCTAGCAATTTCTACAACGCAAGAGTCTTTTCGTTTGACACCAAAACACATAATAAATATTTATTTACATAGATCAATGACGAAAAATTGTAGTGGGACATGGGGGCCATTCGCCTAACGGAAATGCTTAGGAAAACGCTAACGCTTTCGATTTTATTTTGTTATTCTGACCGCCGAAGGTTTTCAAATACCTCACGCTCATTTTTTTTTAATATTGTTATTACCAATGCAAAGGAAAAAAAAGAGCGCGAGGCATTTGAAAACCTCAGGCGGCTAGAAATAACAAAATGAAATCGTAAGCGTTAGCGTTTTCCAAAGCATTTCCGTTAGGCGAATGGCCCCCTAAGGTCTCCTTATTAGTAAACGAAGACTAGGCTTAGATTTGTTACTCCATGTTTTGTGTTTGTCTATCGTATGACCAATGCAAATGGCATTTTACTGACATGAATAAAACACGGGTAACAAGCTTAATCCTTATTGAATAATAAGGGGGTAGATCACAAATATTCTACTCAAGAGTTCTACCGTCCTCAAGCTAAAACACGGCTAAATGACAAAAACAACTTTTGAGATATGGCCAAATAACGGCGTGTATATGTATACTTTAAATAACTGCTATTTTGTAACCATTCATCGCATGATTTTTAGACTTAAACTATAAAAGCTACGAATTCTGGTTAAAGACAGATCGATAGAGAATTAAAAACTGTATAAGATGCAATTTAGTACTGAAAAATCGACCACATTATCAATCTAGTTTGAGGACGGCAGAATTTTAATGGCGGCTACTTCGCAATCTTGCTATGTAGGCGATAGTTTCTAAATTTTAAACAAGTGAAGGATGCAGAAACTGGTTTCCTATAAATTATCTTTCGGTTCATGATAAAATCTCGACTATATTTAAATCTAAAGAAAAGATTCCACGCGGACCAAGCAGCAGACGGGATCACGGGACTCGAACCCGCACACTTTGCTATCCGGGCGAATGCACTGACCATTATGCTACCACGGCCCTGATGGTCGCGTCGAATTCTTTCTAGCCTTTCCTAAGCTGCAAGGCAGCGCCATCTCTTCGCATTGTAGATAACCCACAATGTCAAATGATCATATTTTTTGATTACATTATATTTGTTGAATGGCAACACTGTACTAAAGAAAGCATTTGTGCCTGTAGCGGCAACATTAATAGGTTAATGATGGTCGATAAAGATAGTACAGGCGAAACCAAGTAGGTGGATACAATTTAAGTCCAGTTTGGTTTAACCAGTTTTTAAACTTTGAATCTTTCGTCTATTTTGTCTTATGGCTCAATTACCATGTCCGTTAGGCCGAACACGATAGCCAATGGAATTCGGGTAAACGATTAAGTGTAAAGGAACCGAGTCGAGTACTCGCGTATTCGGGTAGTTTTCGTTTTGGTTCCAGTGAATATATTGCTTTGGGTGCCCGAATTCGAATGATGTCTTTCGTTTACCCTAATACGAGGTCACGACCAAGTATAATAGGGTATTAAAAATAAAGTGCCAATTGTTAGCATCTGTGTTTAGTATTATAATATTGGCAGGGGTTTTTACTATTTTTATAAAAAAAATATTCATAGTTTTACTAAAAACCCACGAAAAAGATAATAGTTTTCATATCTATTGTCACGTGACCCAAAACGCTTGGGATTGGCGGAGCCTAAAATGACGTCACACGCAAGTAAACTTCCGGTTAAAGTGACATTACATTGTATCGTTTGACGTTTTAATAACAGTCGTGTGACGTCACACACTAGTAAGACGCCATATTGTCCACAAAAACGTTTTCGCGGCAAATTGAAATGGAGTTTTTGATTTGGTTATTTTTACTGAAATACACAACAGAGTGATGAATATCCACTTTTTACGGACTCCATAAACATTAGTCATTACCGTGAGATCGTTTTCTAAAACTTGTCAAATACCCTATTGAGCCTTTAAGCATATTAACAAATAATCAAAGCATCGAATGACATTATAACCGAGATTTTATCAAGTGACGAAACTATATATTAATCCTAATGACAATAGAAGTAAGGTTAATTTTCTAATGTAACTTTCCACGCTATCACCTTCTTTGTACTAACGATACCAAAGAAAATAAAGAAATACTCAACAGTAACCTTATTATGCTGGCACTTTACTTCGGTATTCGTGTTTGTTATTCGTAAACTTGACATCAGTTTGTCCATATCATTCCTTATAAAGTATATTTGTAAACTTGAAGTCTGTCAAGTTTACAAGTTTTGTCAAGTTTACAAATAACAAGTTAACAAGTTTTGTCTATATTTTTTTCTTAGGTTTTCACGCACATCACTCATTAAATAAAACTAGTTTTAACGGGTTAATGCACGAACTTTATTTATTTATTGACTTTTCGCAGCCTTTACAGGTCTGCATCGTCAGAATAAATGCGAACGTCAATAAATAAAGTTCGTGCATTAACCCGTTAAAACTAGTTTTATTTAAGTTTTGTCAAGTTTACAAAACACAAGTTAACAAGTTTTGTCGAGTTTACAAATAGCAAATACGAATAGTCAAGTGAAGTGCCGGCATAACAGACATGACACAAGCACGCTAACACAACTAGCAGTCCTAGAAGCATACGCAATTAAAATAATTTGTGATAAAATTGGAACATTGTATTTTGGAAACGAATTGTCTTTAAGTAATTTTAAAGCCTGATTCATATAATAAATGAGTATTTGAATAATACATCCTAGTTTTGTTAACATGTCCGTGTATCAATTTATCATTTTTGTGTTCATATTTTTTTTCCAGCAACAAATTACACTGCTACAACTTTTTCCTTCTTACAACCTTACCGAAATCATATTCAAAGAAATAAGACTTTTACGGATTTTTACATCTCAAATACACACATTAAAATTTAAAGTCCATTAAAATTATTTAATGCGTGTACGAAAAGTCAGTTTGGCAATACAGAACATCTATAGCATTACATGTGCTAATGCAATTCAAACCAGTCTTTAAACATCGAAATTTTTCACCTTTCTCGCAACTGAATTCCAATTTACCCACAACTTTTGTAAACTATTGACAGTACTTACTTCACAAAAACACTTCACCAATTTAACTTGAACTTGATGTGGCACATTGAAAGTCACATACACTGTTTGTAATAGCGATTCTTCAACTGGAACACAATTTATTTCACAACGTAAGTAATGAGCTGATCGTGTAAATTTCACCGAAACCTTTAATCGATTTAACTCAGAGAACTCGCAACAATAAGTTTGGAGATCACTTCACTGTCTTCTGTTCACAACTTCTTACTGGAATTCCCCTTTCAAGGCTTGATCGAGAAGGGTCTTGGAAGCTACCTCAACGGTAACCGTCTTGCTGATGGTAGCCAGGCCGGTGGGTTGCTCGGACAAAGGCTCTGTCAGAATCCTGAGGGAAGACACCTTGGCACGCTGGTATGCTGTCACAGTGTTCATACCTAGGAATCTGTAATGAAAAAGATATGTTAAAAATGATAGCAGATATTATCAATCATCATCATCATTAATGTGGCAGTGGGGACATGTCTTTCGTATGGATGGAAAGAGGGAGGTTGGGCCCTGACCCACCACGCGGGCCAAGTGCGGATTGGCGGGTACTAACGACTGCAGATGCAGCCGGGACCAACGTGCCTTCCAAAGCTCAGAGGAACTCGAGATAAAAGATTTTTGATCACCCATCCAATGATGGATCACTGCGAAAGTTGCTTAAGTTCAACAATTGCAGTCAAACGCGTAAACCACTTGCGAGTTCATACCGAACATATAAATTATTAAATCGGTGCAGTCAATTGATCACCTTACAAGAAACTGTCGGCTTACATAATATGTCAGTGACACAATCAGGAAGGCACAGGAAGACACTAGACCTAGGACAAAGTTGAAATTAATCGAAATTTGCATTTGCGAAATGCAAATTTCGCATTGGTCGGTCATTGGATGGGTGACCAAATATTTACTATCTTGAGCTCCTTCGTGCTTCGGAAGGCACGTTAAGCCGTTGGTCCCGGCTGCATCTGCAGTCGTTAGCACCCACCAATCTGCACTGGGCCCGCGTGGTGGGTCATGGCCCAATCTCCCTATTCCATCCTTAGGGAAGGTCTGTGCCTCAGCAGTGGGGACATTAATAGGCTGATGATGATGATGTTCGGTACTGGATTTGCAGACAGCAGACACTAGATTGAAGAAGGAGGAGCACCCAGAATGTTATTAGCAGGTAGGTATCGCATCACTCGCCTGGCAGCCACGTAGCACACGAGCAGCGCAGCGCCGGCGGCCAGCACCCGCACGTAGATGGAGGTGAACAGCTGCACCAGCACCCAGGCCGCGGCCCCCGCGCCGCACATGCACGCCACGCCCAGCCCCGTGCGCACCCAGTGCACGCACGTGAACCCGCGCTCCCACTCCACTCTGCGGACGGGGGCGGGGGGAGATAAATAATAAATAAACATTCTCAACAATTACACCAATGAGGGCTATCGCCTCTGAAACCGCCGCTAGAGGCGCTTGTGTTGCGTGAGGTCTCCGAAATGTCAAATGTTATAGCTTGCGGGTTGACTACTCGGTTTTTTTCTAGTTAAAATAATAGTTGTGAATATTTGGTAATAAATCAGACTTATTATGGCAAATATGAGTTACGTGTCAATGATTGTCAGTTATTTAAAAGCGGAGCTAAGAAAAAATATTGTCCTTCTTTTTTCCGAACAAAACGGGACTGCGCAACACTGTGGCATGGGCGATTATGTTTAAGATACGATTCTTTTGTATTAAAATGTAAACTTTGATATCACGAGCGTGTTTACTAACTTTAAAAGTTACACTTCAGGACCTCACTCAACAGTGGCGCCATCTGGTGAGACAAAAAACGATAGCCCTCATTAGCCTAACCCCAAAGTAAGCACTGTAAGTGTCGCCGCACACGGGCCACACGCCACAACCACAAACGCCGCCATGAGAAGCTAGAAGCGGCTACTAAAGTGGCTCGTGTGACGTGTGGCAGCGTTTTGTATCGGCGCATTAAGAGCCCTTTCACATTTTTTGCAATAAATTGCAATTTTTGAGCGCCTCGTTTACCCCCTTAGAAGAGATTTTAACTATTTCCAATAGAAGTAAACAGTAGATTTATTCTTCCTATTGTAAGTTAATGTAGAATATTTGCAAATACTATTTTCCTTTTTTTTTACTGATCGTTCTACTGCAGCTAGTTTAAGGAAAAAACGATAATATGCACAACTTTAAACGCCCCAATCTCTCAATATTGTTCAATAAATTAAATCAAATAAATTACTACGATATCAGAAATATGTTTTTGTTGTAAGATAATGTATAAGAATTTTGATTTTCCATCACATTAATTATAATCAAAAAATTCATATAACCTCCGTGAGCTTTCCCAAAAAATAGTGCAGGTTTACCTCGTATTTTGATATTGAATTAAATAGAATTACTATCAAAATCTTTCATAAAACTAATCTACCATCATTGAACTACTGAAATATGTATATTTTTTTATTAGTTCATTTTTAATTATTTTATAAGACTCGAAACATCACCCGTAAAATGCAATATATACTAGTGCAAATCTACCTACGCGCCGATCAGTACAGCAGCGGCGCAATTTTGTAAAAGGGCAAGAACCCATTTAAGAAAATGGTTAATAATTGTTCTAATAGACCGAAAAAAATTATTTGTTTATTTTTGTACCTACCTAGAAAGCTACAAATCTTTAATAATAAAATAGATTTTTCATGGGCATAGAAAAAGGGCGCTTTCAATTTATGCGTTTCTTGACGGCCTGTTGCGGTGCCGAAGCGGTGCGTTTGTCGTACAGCGTACGGACTATCCTTTTTTTTCACACAAAACGCGCGGTGTGGCAACAGTGCGGCGCCGGTACCGCCGTCAAGAAACGCATAAATTGAAAGCGCCCAAACGTCGTCGGCCATTTTAGTGTTAGATTTATCTATGCTATGACGTCAAAACATTTGTAAACAAACACTCGCAAGCACGTAAAAAATATATTAATATACTAGCTGACCCAGCGAACTTCGTACCGCCCTAAAAAATAGGGGTTGTCCAGCGGACAAAATTGTGAATCTAAACCATTCTCAGATCCCCTTGAACACACACAAAAAATTTCATCAAAATCGGTCCAGTCGTTTAAGAGAAGTTCAGTGACATACACACTCACTGAAGAATTATATATAAAGATATTAAATGAGAATGTAGAAACAAATCATTAAAGACTCCAGAAAATTTGTGGTTTAAATTACCTAGAGAAACACTACACAAGCACACATGTTTAAAGCTTGCTTAATCCTGTAACATTTCTTTTAGCGAAGATCACTTTTCAAGTACTCATCGAATAATATTTAAAGTTAAAAATACAATTTTTAAAGTTATGAATGTACCTACTCAGTGTTTCTTCGTTTCTGCTTTCACAAATCCGGCGTCCAGCATTAATTTAGTCAACAAATTCGATAATGGTTATCGAATTCGAATAGTTTGCAAACCGAAATGTCAATGTCAAATTTTGTAAGGAAACTTGGAACAGCAGCGGCACGTACTTTGTGTCATAGTCAAATGTGTACTGATTTATAGTTCTCGTTATACGTAATTATAACTATGACATTTCGGACTCGCAAACGCTACGAATGCGATATTGGTTTGTGCTAGGAGTACTGTATACTTAATTATATATAACAAAACATCAAGTCATTAACAGCAACAGTACTATACCTGTTAGTCTCCTGGACAATATAGGGCGTATTGCAGACCTTGCATTTAAGGCCGTCGGGCGTGGAAGCGCTCTGTCAAAAAAAAATATTGACTGACTTTAGTACAGTAGCCCACAGAACACAGAAACAGGCTAGAAGGGTGAACATGTACCGTTTGTACGGGAATCGATGTCGCCGGCTCGCCCCCACTACTTTTCCAACCAATAGATAATGGCCAATCAAACGACGCGACATCAAACAATCTAACCAACGCAGCGCTCACATCCGAAAGCAATGACGCAATCACAACCAAGTATAGGTTATGAGAATTTGCTCACACATGACTGTTGCGCGCCTGCCCCAATATTAACAAAATATTATATTGTTACGGTGTCAATACAAAATCATATCATCTTCATCACAATATTATAGAAAAAGCTTGCCGGAACGTTTGGAACAATTTAAACACAAGTATTTTTGTCTGAAATATAATCCGATACTTTACAATAGGCTTTATTAATTAGAACTCTTTTAATAGCAGAGTTAATAGCAGAGCGCCTCAATTTACAATCTTAAGACTAGAGGTCTTAAGATTGTAAATTGAGTCGCTGGAGAACAAAACGGTATAATTACATAGAATTAAATTCTACAGGAGCTGTATAAAACTGAATGACATACTTACCTCTGGTGAGCTTTTGGCATGATTCATAATTTATAAATTTAGTAATTTTAACACTGTTTTAGGTGATTGAAAATTATTTGAGATTGAAATTCAACGGACCCGAAACCTCCGGACTGTAAAAAAACCGTTCTGTTCGCCAGCTCCTCAACTCTCTGCAATGAGACTGTCTGTGTATCTATTTGTGTTTGTGGCTCTATATTTGTGTCTGTGTGTTTCTCTTATCTATTAGACAAGTCCGTCCGTCTGTGGTGCTGTTTCAGCGGCCAAACCGTAAGAGATAGATAAAGAGAATATTTAAGTTATAAGTTAAGAATAGTCTGATAAGACTACAAACCGGATTTGAGTAACGTAGCACTTCCGGTTTTTGAGAAATCACGAATTTCAAATGAAACCACACAAAATCTCCGAAGTTCTCAATTAATTAAATACATTTTTTTTTAAATCAGGTTTTGGTGAACATTTGGTTCACTGGTTTGCTAGTATATGTATAATGCATCTATTTAATTGTTTAGCTTCAAACATGTTCATACCTCGACGAGCCACCGCCGCAGGCAGTCGTGGTGCACGGCCGCCACGTCGCCGGAGCAACGGCACGGCTGAATAAGAGGCTCGGGCCGGCTGCTGTCGTAGCAGATCCAACAGTCGCGGGAGGAGCCGACGCTGCCCACGAGCGAGTCTGTTTCCACGTTCTGAGACGCGAAGAAACAGTCAATTAGCAATAGGATCATCAAATAATATATCAGCCGCGTGGGGAGACGTCGCTGTCTACCAGAGAGTATCTCTTCATATTCTGACACGCAAAAAAAACGTGTTTGCTTATGACCACACGACTGAAGTGAAACTTATTAAAAAACTATAAAAAACTTGTGACAAAGACTTAAACTACGCATTCTGTACACCAAAACAAGTCATATTACAAAATATTATAGATGAGAAAAATTTGTATTTTTAAGTTAAAAAAATACATTTTTGAAGTTATACTTCTTTAGGCGCGTTATGAAAAAATGATGAGAGTGAAATTTTAAGATGCGCGCGCATCACTGTAACACAAAATTTTAACAGCATGAAGTTGGTCGCGCCATCTCTTGACCATTGGTGTAGCAGAACCAAAAACCACATCTTTATTTTTTGTAATAAAGTAACAGTAATAGGTATTCATATTAATAATATTTATCCACATGTTTCTAGTTTGTATATTCGGAATACGTGTTTGAGTTTCATACAAGTGCAAATCACATATGTTCTAATAAATTATATTCAGTAGCGATTTTAATTGAATATTTTGATTATTTATTTATTTTTTCAAATTAAAACTGAACTTTATTGCCTGTGTCCTTTTCCAGACTTTTTATTAATTTATTGTAATTAATTATTTCCATGCAATTAAAAACTAATTTTAAACGATGCCAAAGAAGGATAACTTCTCACGCGCCTACATAAGTACACGCACCCATTTTTTTTTTCCAGTACGCAATGTATAGCGCGGCGCGCTACTATGGCGCTACGCAAAAAATGTGCCTGTGTGTACGTGTGTCTAAGTGCGTCGATAAAAAAGTTTCTAAATGACGTTTTGAAAATATTAATGTATAAATCTTGAAAAAAATATTTTGGCTTAGCCCTTCAATATCTCCATAATCATAAATTTCCCCGGTATAGTCCAGAAGAAAAAAATGATCGTCCTGATGTGGAAAATACGTGGCCTTCGACTTCGTTATAGGTTTTTTTACACCCTGTATATGTGTGTGTACAATATAAACATGTATGTACATATAGATATTTCATTTACTAACTATAAGAGAAAGGGAGAAAGAAAATGTGCGCGCGCACTGTTTTCTCTTGCTTATATCATCCCCCACTCAGCTCCCATTGGCCTCGCCCGAAAACACATTTCGTAACGCGTAACTCATTCGCCAGCTTAACCCCAAAGTCAAGCGTGCGTAAAGAAGGTTTCACTTCAAAAAACGGTAATTCAGTAATTTGTAACTGAGTCTAGGATCGTTGTGATTCTATCTTTTTATGTCCCCACTGCTAGGACAGCAGTGGCACGGCGGGATTAGCGACTCGAGCCGGCTGCTGTCGTAGTAAACCCCAGCAATCTCGGGAGGGGCCGACGCTGCTCTCAAGAGAGTCTGTTTCCACGTTCTGAGACGATACGATACGGTTATGATAGTAACATAATTATCATCAATCAGCCGCGTGGGGAGACGAAGCTGCCCACCAAACAGTCGGTCTCAACAAAAAACAAAATTAAAAAGGGGATTACCTAAATTCATCCAATATCAATGCAGTAAGAATAAAAACCATTTCTTGTCTACTTACAACGTAAAATCTCTGAAAAAAAGGTCTAAAACCTTCCAATAAGACACAAAACACATACAAACTCAATATCCCACCGAACACTTACCGATCCTCTCGCAGTCTCCGAAGTCCTTAAATACTTGGGTACCGCTACTATATTCAACACGACAGTTGTGACCACCAATTGCCAATATCGCACCAATCGTAACAGGTACAAATAGGCCCCGTAGGACCAACTCTTGAGGCGGTACTGCAATAGGGCCTGGGGAACGAAAATGCCCTGAATTTTGTGAAAACATAGGCTATATACAGCCATCCAGATTGTAAGCTTGTGTAGACGAATGATTCGCTGAGTAACAATGCGTGAAAGACAACACGCTAACTAATTGGCCTGAATCTTGTGAAGACATAGGCTATAAACAGATCTCCAAAACACCCTTATTAATAGGGTATTTGACAGTATTAAAAATTAAGTGCCAATTGTTAGTATACGTGTTTAGAATGAATATTGGCAGGGGTTTTTACTATTTTTACAAAAAAAATATTCATAATGTTACTAAAAACCCACGAAAAAGATAATAGTTTTCTTATCTATTGTCACGTGATACAAATCGCTTAGGATTGGCGGAGCCTAAAATGACGTCAGACGCAAGTTAACTTCCTGTTAAAGTGACAATACATTGTATCGTTTGACGTTTTAATAACAGACGTGTGACGTCACAACTAGTAAGACGCCATATTGTCCAGAGAAACGTTTTCGCGGCAACTTGAAAATGGAGTTTTTGATTTGGTTATTTTTACTGAAATACACAACAGAATGATGAATATCCATCTTTTTATGGACTCCATAAACATTAGCCAATAACGTGAGATCGTTTTCTTAAACTTGTCAAATACCCTATTGCCCATGAATTTTGTGAAAACATATAGGCTACATACAGCTCTCCAGGTTGTAAGCTTGTGTAGAGGAATCATTCGCTGAGTTACAATGCGTTAAATATATTTTCAAAAATGCTGTGCAAACAGCGTTGCTGTGTGGCTTAAGGCGTGCTGTTGTGGAATGAGAATCGTTACAATTTGGCAAAATTAGTTTTTATGCATATTTTTTAATTTATTATACTCTTAGGCCCGTATTATAGAAAGATTCTCAGTGATTGATCTAGTTTTGAGTTTAGAAAGGGATGTCGCTATATATAGCACATAGCGACTTCCCTTTCTAACTGTACTCAAGTAAAGATCAACACTTAGTTGTCATTCTGTAATACGGGCCTTATTAGGTGGATTGCAAGGAATAGCGAGATAGGCTCCTTTCTGATTTTAAAGTGTCTACTTAGTAGGCAAACCTGCTTCCATTTCAAATGAATTTTAAATAGAACATGAAATCCAAAAATAAATATAATCATAATTTTTGAAAGTAACAAACGGTTACCAAAACAATTATTTTCCTTTATATTGGATCGCTATACATTTTCATATTCCACGCTAATGAAAAACCGAAAATGTAAGCGTTTTATTATGTTTTCAGAAACCTTTCAGTTGGTTAACAACTGTTTTACATTATTCATAAAACATGAGTTAATTTGTGATACATTTAAGAATAGTTTGATAACAAAAGAAGACATGGACTTTACTTTTTTTTTCTATTTTACTATCATGATATCCTTATATTCTGCATTCACAAGAAAAATCTAGTGACAACATTCCACACTCCACTGCCTTGAGTAGCCGACAAAAAAAATTGCCAAAAAGAACGTCACGGCATCCAAAACCTCTCAAAAAACGCATTTTCGTGATTTCCAGACATAAACAACATTAGCATGTAAGCCACGAAGACTGAACGACCACCTGACACCATGGAGGTTCTATGGGGACGAAAAGACAACATAGACCAGCCGAACGAAACAATCCAACCTCCATAGCACAACAACAAAAAGGGATTCTCGCTTATACTGCAAGTTTATCCTCAAATCACAACATAAAAATATACTGACATAACCTAAAAATAAAAACAATGATGAAATTCACCCAATGAATTTATACATCGACACTGTACATTATTTAGGGTCCATTATACGCTCATGAATAATAAAAACGGACGGCGACCAAAAAAATCCACAGCCACCACATTAGATAATACTATCCATCAGCAGGGCTTGAAACCGGTTTCGAAAATACCGGTAAATAAAGGTTAATACCGGTTGTTAGTAAAGGTTTCGTTCGGAGCGCGTCCGAAATGAAAGCGGTACCTAAAACCTTAATAAACCGGTTTAATCCAGAGCAACACGTGCACGCTTGAAGTCTGTATTGTTTGAACTAATCAAGTCACAACTTGTTAATGCTCAGTGTTTGATGCATTTATTGACACGTTTTCTAGCGTCTAGTGAGTCAAGTTATTCATTTATTATCGATGCCGTCAGAAAGAGCGAAATGAAACCCTTTAAAAACCGCTAAATTGATTCAAAACCTATTTGACTTTGTTCTTTAGGAAAACTGGTTTTTTAAGGTTAAGGTAGAGCCAAACCTAAATAAAACGCTCCTAATGTACTTGACACTGATTTAGGTTTGAAAATTAACCGGTAAACAAGCCCTGTCCGATATATCAATCAGTCATAGTGGCTGTTGGCAGCAAGCTGCGTAGTCAGAATTACCCTTTTCAGGCTGCGTCGTTAGAATTAAAAACTGTTTTAATTAACAATTGATTAAGAAACGCACAGTCCTTTCTTTATGTCTTTGGGTGCGGCCAGAGTGCACTCAGATTCAGAGTCAGATTCAGATTCTGAAAACAAGCGCGAGAAATAAACAGTGTAGTCTAAGCAGGTTGCCTGCTTTTTCTCGCGCTTTGTTTTCTGAGTCTGAATCTGACTCTGAATCTGAGTGCACTCTGGCCGCACCCTTTGGTTGAACTGTAACGATTCTAGTGGTTAACATTAACTCTTGAAGACTAGTACTTTAATTTGAACGTACTAAGGTTCATTTTACCTTATCATTCCGATGGCTAGCCGGATAGTCTCTCCTGAACTGCCCCTCTAGCATGAGCACCGCGATATGATATATAACACATTTTTATCACGCGCAATTGTCAAATTACTATGGAGTTTGACACTTACACTTGATAAAAAACGTGATATAATGTAAATTGTAGTTCTCATGCTACAGGGACTGAATTGTACAAAACAACTCTCAAAAGTTGTAGAACTTTAATTCCTAGAACTTTACTCCGTACATCATAAAGTCTATTTTACCTTGACATCCCGATGGCTGGCCAACAGATCTGTCAGGCGGGCATCGTCCAGCTGTCTGGCCAGCAATCGTCGAGGGTTGAGTAGCCATAGTCTCTCCGGAGCCATGGAGTTCCATAAAACGCAAGGGAACCATAGCGCGACTCCGATCTCGGCAAGACGGAACACCAGGTCGTGCCAGTTGCGAGACACTACTGGGACCCTGAGAATGAGAAAAAAGCATAAAGGACATGGCTAAGAAACTGCCCTTAACGTGTATAAATATTTCGCACTAGCCCGTAACTTTACAATTTTTTTTATTAATTATTACGTGTTTATTATTCTCATACAACTTTCGTGAAATAATCAAATATTTAAAAGTATAAAAATTGACTACATGTCTGTTTAAAAAGCAAAATGTTCCGTTTTACTAAATAAATGAACAATAAATGTACACATTTTTTTTTTTTATTTTATTAAATTTTTTTTGTAAATATATCGAAATAAACAATATTATTTCTAAACTCCTTCAAATTATGACATATTTGGCCCTAATTTTAATTATAATAAATCACTGAAGGCCTTAAATAATAGATTTTATTATTCTGATCAGGCTTGAGACAAGGCTGTATGATAATTAATCCTTTAATTTTTGCAAATGGACAACATAAAACTTCAAAGATTTCCTGTCAGGTCGACGATAACAAATTAGTTGTATTTATTTTTACTTTAAAAAATCTTTTTGTGAAGAGTTAATCAGAGAAATGGGAAGAAAGATTCTAAGAAAATGCGAAATTGATGACTCTGGAAATAATTGGCAACATATTTTATCAACTATAGTAAGGTAATGACTATAGGAGTTCTCATAATTTTCAAGATAGTGACTTTATTAAAAGTTCCCGAGTCTTTTTTCACAGAAATTATGAATATTCAGCCATTTACCATTATATATTACTAAGTACATACAGTATTTATACATTGTCAGGGCAGTCGCCCATACAAAACTTTACTATGTCCTTTTATAGTTATGTTTTTATTTTTTAAGCATTTAACTGCTAGATGTTTAAATCTAAAGAAAAGTTTACTAGAAAAAATTCCACGTGGACCAGGCAGCAGACGGGACTCGAACCCGCACCCTACGCTATCCGGGCGAATGCATTGACCATTATGCTACCGCGGCCCTGACGGCCGTGTCGAATTTTTTCTAGACTTAGGCTTAAATTTTATATTAAACTTTGTTTGTGACTTCTCCTGTGTAGGTTTAAGGAAATCACTGGCAATTATTTTCAAGTGTACAAAATTATTCAAAGAAACCCTTGATATAACATAAGGGATATTATATCAAGGGCTTTCTTTCAAGTTTGTGTTATTAGGTATATAAAAACACTCGAACTAAATTCCTTTTATTATATCAAATACTCATAAATTTAAGTATTTACCGCGCAATCAGAATTGGGATCTAGAGTCATAGAAATAAAGTTTACATTCTTCCACGTATAGGGTAACGTTGTGAAATTGTATGAGCTTACATTAGGAATAAGGGCTACCATTTTTTGTCTTACCAGATGGCGCCGCTGTCGAGTGAGGTCCTGAAGTGAAGCTTTTAAATTTTGTTAATACGCACGTTAAATCAAAGTTTACATTTAAATCATATTTAATCATGCGTGTTTATAATCGCCCATCTTGGGCCATTGTGAAGAAGGGCCATAAGACTATTAGGCAAGCCTCATCACTCACTTGGTCTTCCAGAACTCGCTGAGCGTCTCCGAGGCCAGAAAGCCCACTATCAGGATCAGCATCAGCGCCTGGCTGACGAGCCCCACCCGCGACTGATGCAGCTGCGACTGGTTCACGGACCGAGGGTCCACGGCCAGGTCTGTCTGGATGCCCTGGTGGTGATGGGGGGAAACCAACTTTAAAACGTAATTGAACACATCAAATTGATTGAATGATTAAAAAGGTCACGTATAATGTTCTTCTATAGTGACGACCTCCGTGGCCGAGTGGTTTGTACACCGCGTTTCATGGTGTCGCCAACTCGACAGGTTCCGGGTTCGAATCCCGGTGGGGGCATATGTTTGTGTGATGAATACGAGCATTTGTATGAATGAATGAATGAATGAATACTCTTTATTGCACTATTACAAAAAAAAAACAATAAACATAAAACAGGAACGCAAACACAAAAGGCGGCCTTATTGCTAAGGTAGCAATTTCTACCAGGCAACCTTTGGCTAAATGAAACGATACCATAAGAATAGTAGAAACAGCGGGCTGTGCATTGTAAAAATAAATTAATAAACGTAAATATAGGAAAATAAAATATAGAAAGTATATGGAAGCTATAAAATACAATACAAAGTAATGAACATATAAAAAGATCAGTCAGAGTCCAGCTTGAGAAAATAATCCTTAACTTTAATAGCAAAGGAGTCCCTCGTCCGTGCATGTTTAATATCTAAAGGTAAAGAGTTCCACAATTTAACGGCTCTTACATAAAATGACTTGGCTACGAAGTCAGTGGAGTGGGGTGGGATAACTAAGGATAGGTTATGAGAAGACCGAAGGTCACGAACAGGATTAAATGAGTGAAAAGTGAAACGCTCCTTAAGATAGAGAGGAGTGTGTGGATGAAAGAGGATAGAATAAAGGAGTGATAGGATGTGACAGTCTCTTCTACGAGAAATGGGTAGCCATTGAAGTTGGGAACGATAATGAGAGATATGGTCGTACTTACGCAGACCGAAAATGAATCTAATACATAAATTCTGCAGACGCTCGAGTTTATTAAGAAGAACAACACTAAGGTCAGGGTAACACGCATCGGCATAGTCAAGCAACGTACGTTTGTACGTTTGTACTCCTGGAATGGAAAATGAAGCCTAGGATTTTGCACGCAATGGGTTTATTTACACTATTTTGAAGTCGCACAATAATATTAAAGCCGATGACAGACAAAGACTACGAGAACACAATCATATAAATATGTCAATACTTTAAAAACACTTCAAAAAACTATAAAAACTAAATCTATCAAAAAAAGTCTGCATTTTCCATCCCACTAGCTCTCCGCTTCAACCTGTCTTGACTTAAACTAAAAAATTAATTTACAATGAACTTTAAGAAGAAATCAATCACAGAATAATAACCTGTTTAGTGACAAGCGTCTCCTGGACCTCCTCCCCCTCGCCGGCGGTGGACGGGCCGGGGCGCGGCTGTATGATCGTGCAAACCTTGGTCTCCTTCAGGAACTCCCCGCGAAGCTACAATATTAGGAACAAATTCATTATCAGCCTAAATCTGCATTGTCATTATTGGCGGCATGGGATTACGCTATGGATAAAACACATGGAGAACAGGGCTGCCCCCCTAGCATGAGCACCGCCATCACTACATAGTATAAAACAAAGTCGCTTTCTCTGTCCCTATGTCCCTTTGTATGCTTAAATCTTTGAAACTACGCAACGGATTTTGATGCGGTTTTTTTTAATAGATAGAGTGATTCAAGAGGAAGGTTTATATGTATAATACATGCATAAAATAGTAGAGAAACACTGATAATTTTAGAGGTTTTTAATGTAAGGTCGTAAATAAACACATTTTTTTGCGCTTACATTGCAAACGCTGGCTGAACCCCACGAGATAGATCAAAATAATGTACTACAGTATTGTACACCTTAAAAAGGTCTACAAAAAAGTCCGCGATGGTATATGTCTATCTCTTAAGGATAACACACAATAACCAATTTTTATCCTATACTTTTTACGAGAAATAATAGATTATTTACGAAGCGATTTTAAGCAATATAACATTCATCCTTATCCAATTAAGTACCTTAAATACATTGTGCATTTAATATAGAACAATATGGCCCTTTAACGCATACAATTTAAATGAATATATTCGAAGATATTACAAATTTAAAATTCAGGGACATAGCTGTTCCGACGCTACCGGGCTTGGCGGCGCGTGCCTATTGTAATTGGGTATTAGAAGAATGTCATTGTGTATAATACAAGCCTGAGAACAAAAACTATAGTCTACACTACAGCTTTACACCGAAGCGAAGCGAGGGCGGGCCACTAAAGTAGAACTTTTTATTAGCTGCAGTAAAATGACGTTTTGTGGGTTACCGCTTTTTGAAGAAAAATAAATAGAGATGTAGCTAAGTGAGTAAGTGAATCATTCAATAAATGATTGATCAGTTTGGTTTTGTTTAAGGGATTTAATATTAAGTTGTATTGTTTAAGGGATTTAATATTAATCAAATATTTTCGGAATCACTATCGCTGTCGCTTTCGGTCACACTAATGACAAATCTGTCTGTCATTTCATCAATAATATGATCGAGGTGGCACATTTTGTCTTCCTCTTTTATAGTGTTAGACACACAGTCACTCCACTTAACCGGTGTCACTTTGTTGATTCCTTCTTGGAATAAAGTTTTCACTTCTTGCATTTTATATGTTTTATTAATGTTTGCGACGTGCCCCTTTACCTGAGCCCAAACCAACTCGATGGGGTTCAATTCACAGTGATAAGGGGGCAGTCTTAAAAGCCTGATACCTTTTTATGCAGCAATCTCGTCCACGGCATATTTCTCAGTTATCTTTGAGAGTGGCCTTCACTATATTTGGTAAAAATTCCACATGGGATGGGAGAAAACATATTATACCTAACGTATAATAAAAAGATTAGCGATGACAGATAAACTAACCTTTGCGATGGTGGGTACTTCATTTCTATGAAAGAACTGATGTACAATTCGTCTAATATAGTCCAGTCAGTATTGTCGCGAAATCCGTTTTTCCTCAAACAGCTGGAACTATGCTAAAAAGTTTCTTAAGATAGTAAAGAACACTTTACATAGAGAAAAAAAATGTTTCCAACCCCGGGCAAGGGTGAAAACCACCCTTAATAATCTATTTTTCCAATTATCTCAAAAAGTATACGAGATACGGAAAAAAACTTCAAATGAAAATTGTAGATCTTTTTGAAATCTACAAAACATTATTCCACCCTCTTGCCCCTATTTTCAATAGGGGAGCCAATAATCGAAGTCAAAGATTCAATACTTAAAAAGTTAAAGTTAGTTAAAAAAGTTATCTTTGACTTCGATTATTGGCTCCCCTATTGAAAATAGGGGCAAGAGGGTGGAATAATGTTTTGTAGATTTCAAAAAGATCTACAATTTTCATTTGAAGTTTTTTTCCGTATCTCGTATACTTTTTGAGATAATTGGAAAAATAGATTATTAAGGGTGGTTTTCACCCTTGCCCGGGGTTGGAAAAATTTTTTTCTCTATGTAAAGTGTTCTTTACTATCTTAAGAAACTTTTTAGCATAGTTCCAGCTGTTTGAGGAAAAACGGATTTCGCGACAATACTGACTGGACTAATAGCGGTGAATGTGAAATCATCAAGTTTTTCTTTAAATGTAAGTTTTGGGCCAGGTTTTTCGGGAGGTTTTGGTGATTTACAGTCGTTCTTCTTGTGCTCCTTTAAAACAAAATAAACAGTGCGGACGGATATTCCCAAGACTTCAGCCACCTTGTTGATGCATTCACTTGTTTATGGAATTTTAATACTTGAATCTGTAGATTTCACTTCAAACACATATTTGTAAACGTTTCTGACCCAAAGTTTCTCGGTGGCACTTAGAGCTACACGTGGCCTTTTTTTTTCTTAGGAGATAGAAATGTATCTCCATCTTGTGATATGCTCAACTGAGCATCAACTCATCATCATCATCATCATCACGATTAAGAAAAAGTAGGTAACGAAAAACAAACATAAAGTAACAAAATTTTAATGATAACTAAAACGACTCGCAGTGGGCAAAGCAAAGTTATTCGTGCACTCAAAACAGAAGTTAGAAGCCGAATGAGCGAATGACAAATGGTGGACAAGCCTCATCGTAGCACCGTAACTAAAAACCAGTACCAACTTGAGATTTTATACAGCCTTTTATTTATATGAATAATAAAAAGAATTAAGTATGATCATTATGAGTTAGTTATGGAACGATTAGATTTTCTGTGAACCTAAGCACATCCCTATTGAAATTGGGCGGTCAACATTATTTTGCGGAATGACATTTTGAAACGTCATTTTACTGCAGCTAATAAAAAGTCGAAGTATAGTATGATATATAACGCATTTATAACACTCTTAATTATCATCTTCTTCTTTTTGGAAAATGGCGGTGCACTTTTGTGGATTTCGCCACACTCGAGTGATTCAGCTTGGTTGTTCAGTGCGAATTGACTTTACTTTTTTTTTATGTATGTTGTGAAAGCACAATATGTGAAAGAAGTAAACAATGTACTTAAATTTTTGTAATTGGATATCTGTTGTCTTATCTGAAAGGTACGAACACAATAAAAAGTCAGTCATGTTAGTTGGTTAGTCTAGAGACAAACAATTACAAGCGTATATTATTTTTGGATATATATTCACAAAGTAGGATAATAAAGGGAGAGTTAACATAGGTTAGGAGAGTTTTAAAATTCATAGTTTTGGGAATGTATGGTGGAAGGAAGACATAAAGTGAAACCGGGTATTTTGGGCAACTAAAGAAAATATGTTCAGTTGTTCCTTCATCCAGCCCGCATTCACATAGTGAGCTGTCTTTAACCTTAATTTTGGCAACTCTTAATTATCAAATTACTATGGAGTTTGACAGTTTGAAGCGATAAAAACATGATATTATGTAAGTTGTGGTGCTCATGCTACAGGGGTTGAGGTGTTATCCAAATGCGTCACAACAATTTCGTGATTTTTTTTACTCCTCCCCCGTACTTGTCACATTTGAGTCCCCCCCCCCCTACTTAGTGTGACGTCATATTAATATTTTGCAGCTAGAAATTAATAAAACAAAATACATAGTAGATCCTAAATTAGTTCCGAAAATAAGCCAACAAAACAAATTACAACCCATACAGATAAGAGTTCTAAATATTTTTAAGTGCTTTGATAATAGTTCAAAAGTATTAGATTTTGAAATGTGACGTCACGAAACTTAGGACCCCTACCTCCCCTTGTCACACAATGTCACACTTCACCGACCTCCTCCCTCCCCCTTAACGTACGACGTACTTTATGGATGACCCTGTGGTCTACTCTCTTTCTCCGAAATGTACTTTCAGTAACGAAGTTCAAACGAAATTTCATTTTTCAATTTTAATTTCATTTTAACGATAAATTATCAAATTAAATTTTTAGTTGATTAGGCTAAGAGAATCTCAACCGCAATCTATTTTCGGGCGAACGTTTAATATTGTAATATGAAACGAAAAAAAAAAACATGGTAAGAAATGTACGATGTTTCGATCGAAAAATCGTTTTTCGTTAAATTAAAGTAGGCCTCCTGGGTGCAATTCGCCTAACGGGATTGCTTTGGAAAACGCTTACGATTTCATTTTGTTATTTCTGACCGCCGAAAGGTTTCAAATACCTCACGCTCATTTTCTTTAATATTGTTATTAACAATGCAAAAGAAAAAAAAAAGCGCAAAGCATTTGAATGCCTCAGGCGGCTAGAAATAACAAAATGAAATCATAAGCGATAGCGTTTTCCATAGCAATCCCGTTAGGCGAATGGCCCCCTGATGACAGGGTAAAGTGAACGAAATTCTATTTAGTCCTACAGTTAGATTTACAAAAAATAATGCCCACTTATTTTTCCTAAAAGTGACTTCTTTTACCTTGAAGTGAGTGACAATGACAAAGCGCGTCAAAGTTTGGGCGTGAAACTCCCCGACGTCAGTTCTAAGTAAAAATTGTACCAACACATGACAAAATGCAACATTTTAAATCAATATAAATCTGTGTAACGTTTTTATTGTGTGCAAATAGGAATAATACGTGTCCACCACTACTTTTTGATAATCTATCAGAATAGACGAAGAAAAATAAGTTAGTCACCATGCCTATTGCCTTGGCATTCATCTATATATAAAACTCAAAGATGACTGACTGACATAGTGATCTATCAACGCACAGCCCAAACCATTGGACGGATCGGGCTGAAATTTGGCATACAGATAGATGTTATAACGTAGGCATCTGCAAAGAATTGTGATCAATTCTACCCCCAAAGGGATAAAATAGGGAATGAAAGTTTGTATGAAACTTTGTCAATTTTAAACCGATCGGGCTGAGACTTTGCATGCAGGTATAAGAAGAATCATAGATGAATGTCATTGTGTATAATACAAGCCTGAGAATAAAAACTGTAGTCTACACTTCAGCTCTACACCCTGCAAGGGTGTCACATGTTCTATATAATAGCTTTATTAGTCATCTGGGTATCACATCAATTACAGCTCAGGCTTTTATTCTTGACATAAAATTTAATAGCAAATTATGTAGCATGTATGAGAATGAGCAAACGTTCCTTAATAAGGGAAATAGATTTTAATTATGTTTTTTTCAAGCATTTAACTGCTAGATGTTTAAATCTAAAGAAAAGTTTTACTAGAAAAAAAACCACGCGGCCCAGGCAGCGGACGGCACTCGAACCCGCACCCTTCGCAATCCGGGCGAATGCACTGACCAATTATGCTACCACGGCCCTGATGGCCGCGTCGAAATCTTCCTAGCCTTAAGCTGCAAGGCAGCGCCATCTCTTCGCATTGTAGGTAACCCACAATGTCAAATGAATACTTTTTCAAGTATTAATAAACAATTGAAAGAAGAAATAGCAATTATAGTTATGTTATTATTATTATTTTAAGTATTTAACTGCTAGATGTTTAAATCTAAAGAAAAGTTTTACTAGAAAAAAATCCACGCGGGCCAGGCAGCGGACGGGACTCGAACCCGCACCCTTCGCAATCCGGGCGAATGCACTGTACAATAAGCTACCACGGCCCTGATGGCCGCGTCGAAATAAGAAGTTAGAAATTAGATTCTAATTATGCAAAGTTTAATAGTCTCTGACTCACGGGCAGAAGTTTGGTCACGTTCTTACACCCACACTCAAGCGAGTTTAATGTTTGGCACCTTCGGAACTCCCCGCGAAAAACACTTCAAACTACGTTTCTACGCTCTAATATATTAGTGCAACCAAAGTAAATAAAAACTGTTCAAATATTAAACTAAACATATCAAATATCTACACCACTTTAAATCAACTTTGACAAATCAATTAAAAGTTACAGCTTGACCTTCTAATTGATTTACTTACTGGAGGAACATAATAGGGTATTTGACAGTATTAAAAATAAAGTCCCAATTGTTAGCATCTGTGTTTAGAATGAATATGGGTAGGAGTTTTTACTATTTTTACGAAAAAAATATCCATAATTTTACTAAAAACCCACGAAAAAGATAATAGTTTTCTTATTTATTGTCACGTGACCCAAAACGCTTGGGATTGGCGGAGCCTAAAATGACGTCACACGCAAGTAAACTTCCGGTTAAAGTGACATTACATTGTATCGTTTGACGTTTTAATAACAGTCGTGTGACGTCTCACACTAGTAAGACGCCATATTGTCCAGAGAAACGTTTTCGCGGCAACTTGAAAATGGAGTTTTTGATTTGGTTATTTTTACTAAAATACGCAACAGAATGATTAATATCCACTTTTCACGGACTCCATAAACATTAGTCAATAACGTGAGATCGTTTTCTAAAACTTGTCAACTACCCTATTATTAAAGAAGAAGCTGACTAATAATATCGTCCGTGGCCGAGTGTACTTGTAAAGTAAGTGCATCTGTACTCCAGTCATGGATGCTTAACATGTATTTCGAAATAAAAAGTATATACATACTTATATATGTATTTAGTATATATATTCTATCCGATACCCTAGTGTCCCATAACACAAGCCTACAGTGCTTACTTTGGGGCTAGGCTAATTGGTGTGAGTGTTGGAAATATTTAATAATTAAATTTAATTAATAATAGAAAGGAGAGAGAAGGTGAGGTGTTTCAGTCCGAGGGCCCAGTTAGCCCATTTTGGATATTTTAAAATAGTCTACTGGATCGACTAAATTACGAAATTCGTACAGAAAAAAAGATATCTTTTCACGTTCCGATAATAATGTTTTTATTATAGATTTTTCTTTCCCTGATCCCTATTCCTATTTATCTGACAGTGACAGCATTTAAAACTGAGTCTAATATTTATAATTTTAATTTTTGTGGCGTTTATTACACGACCTCAACCATTGCTGTATTTCTAATGTTATCATTTACATTTTATTATAGTACTTAACTCCCTATTCCATCCATAGGGAAGACCTGTGCCCCAGCAGTGGGGACATTAATAGGCTGATGATGAATGATGAATGTACTTATGGAACCGTTCGTGTGAAATTCCAACGCAACAGGTCAAATTTTATTTTATCGCTACGAATTCTTTGTTATATCTTTAACTACCATTCCAATATCGTGTATTAAGTCAACATTGATATTACCGAGTAAAGAAATATAAAACGTCTATAACATTTATATAAATCCTGTGGTCATTCGCATATATCCGAATGACAGCAATTCTAAGTATTTCATGAGATAACATCACACAAGCCAACTCTCCGAAATACATTTTATAGTATTGACTTTAACAAAACGAAAAGTTTAAGATTCTTTTGTCTTATTTTTCAATGTTCATCGATGAAATTTTGGCGTCGGAAAGTTTTAACTTAGCATCAAAGCGTGTCATAAAGCCGTAAACGATTTTAGCCTTTAAATCATTCATCTTACGGGTGTAATTTGTCTACACAAATAGTGTTTGAACATTGTAAACCGTACGTATATTTGCTGTCTCTTTAATGTAAACTAATGCACAAGGTTTTTAAATCACATAATACGTAATAATAACATATTACACAACTATTAAAACTCACGACCTTACAAGTATGTGTATCAACACGGAAAACCTATGAATGGGGCAGTCTGACGTGGACAAATTGGTTCTTAATGTCTTCTTCATTGTACCACACAATGCCACATTATCACCCGTATATGAGACAGGAACCACACAAGGATTTTGTATTCATATGTACTTGTAATTACGAGCATAATGTTGGCTAAGTACTTCAGCATAAAGCTGTGAAGGATTTTCAAGAGTCATATTGAATATGTAAGTATTCAAATTGTTTGGTGCATTTGAACTTAATACTCCGGTAACAGCTTTAACTGTAACATGTTTAAAAGCACCTTATTATTATTAAAATTAGTAATTTATGAAGCAATTACCTTAAAATACACTTCAACTCCATATATCAGGAAAAAGATGACCACAATGAACAGCAGGACAGCGTAACATCCATTGAATACGTGTTGGTAGAAACTCTGCAAACAAAACAATTAGATTAAAAAAGACCTCATCCCGCAGACCCATCGCAGCAGAGACAATGCCTAGTATACGGCATCTTTATACTAAGTAGCTTAATCGTTTGCATCAACTGCTGAGATCAGATTGAGGTTTAAAATAGGGGTGATGACGGGGTACAGTAAACGAAATTCTATTCAGTCCGTCAGTTAGATGATCAAAAAAATAATGGACACGTATTTTTTCTTTGGGCAATTAACCAAAAAATTACAAAGTTATAGCGCGTCAAAGTTATTGGAGTAGAGGCTCGTGACGTCACTTTTTAGTGAATTTTCACTTAAAAGTGTACTCAAACGTGACGTCATGCGACTTTTCAAATGAATATATCTCTGCAATGTTTATATTATGTGAAAAAAGAAAAAATACGAGTCCAACACTTTTTGATAATCTACCTGATAAACGAAGAAATTTTTTTCAAAATTTGTCATCATCCCTATTGTAACAAAGTGTAAATTTTTGAACCAATAGACCAAAAATTCACACCCAACTGGGTCCCTCATATAGTGGCGTTTATGGCGAATACCTCATGCATAATTGTTGTGTGTTATCTCTTTTTCTTTATGCTGATTTGCCTTTCTACCAATATTAGAAGCTTTTTGACTTATTTTATTAAGACTTGATGAAAGTGTAATCTTCCAATAATATAATAAAAAACAATGGAGTCAACAATCGTATTATCAATATTTTAGTGTCTCTACCCACCTTCTTCTCAGCAGAAGTGTCAGCCACGTTGGTGGTGAGAACCTCGGCAGCCAGCAGCGAGTAGCTGATCAGGTTGAAGGTCACGAACGCCAAGAACGACTTGGACAGGAACCGGGGCCTCTCCCAGCGGATGTCGCGGAGGTGGAACACCTGACAGAAGAGAGATCAATTAAATTTAAAAGAGCTGCAGACGAAATTGAATCTTATGTGATACCTAAGAAAACACTTTTTAAATATAAGTTTGATGAGTAGCTATACGACGCAGGTGATGTGCGCGTTCGATCTGCGATCGCTGCAACTTCCGCAATGGCTAGCCATTGGGTGGGTACTTAAACACTTATTAAGTCGAGCTCCTCCGTACTTCGGAAGGTACGTTAAGCAAAGCATCTGCAGTCGTTTACTTTAGTACCCACCAATCCACACTAGGCCCGCATGATTATGACAATGGGAGCCTAGTGTGGTCTAGTCTCTTGTGGATTGCCCAATCTCCCAATTCCATCCACAGGGGAGGCCTGTGCCGCAGCCTAACATTAATAGGCTGATGATGTTGTTTTACTCAATGGTTAACGCAAGGAAGTACAATAATAACTGAAGCTAAACAAACATGAAAGTAAAATGACTTCTCCGAGTGCGACCGTCAGCTTCATTATGTACTAGCGGCCCGCCCTCGCTCGCTTCGGTGTAGAGCTGAAGTGTAGACTACAGTTTTTGTTCTCAGGCTTGTATTATACACAATGACATTCATCTATGATTCTTCTTATACCATGCATGCAGTCTCAGCCCGATCGGTTTAAAATTGACAAAGTTTCATACAAACTTTCATTCCCTATTTTATCCCTTTGGGGGTAGAATTGATCAAAATCCTTTCTTAGCGGATGCCTACGTCATAACATCTACCTGCATGCCAAATTTCAGCACGATTCGTCCAGTGATTTGGGCTGTGCGTTAATAGATCACTATGTCAGTCAGTCAGATCACCTTTGAGTTTTATATATATAGATAGACCAACGGCCGTCTTCGACTGCACCAATTTTAGTTTTTTGAGAATCCCACAGGAACCTAACATTTTTCCGGAATAAAAAGTAGGTATAATAAAAAACATCCAGTAGTTTATGCGTGATTAAGTAACAAATATACAAACATACAAACTTTTACACAAAGACCTGGGAAATATCAAGGAATGCCGCGCAATATTTCTTGAATCGCTTTAAAAACTATTTTCAACTGCTTCGATAGAATGGGCAATAAGCAGAAGTGATCTACCCGTCTTCGGGAGCTCTTCCAGTTTGAGGACCATTTTTATTTGTGCTATGTATTATATACACACATCAAAAGTGTCTAGGGATCAAGCATTTTTATGCGGATTTCTTGAGATTGAGATGTGGCTTTGTAATAAATTTATGATTTTATAAATTTATATGGATCCTTTTTGGTGCATTTCATAATTTGAATCAGGAACTGTGAATCAAATTCGAGTAAAAGATGAAAATCAGCTGTCAATATTTTCCCTATAAAAACATACAACGCATTGAAGACATTATTAGTGCTACTGTTTCCCTACTACTGATTAAAACCAACGTTATTATGGAGCGGCGACGTCATTTAAGCAGGGAAGAAATGCTCAGAGCCGTGGGAATGATAGAAGCTGGTTCCCGGCAACGTACTGTGGCTTTAGCTCTGAATACAAGTCAGAGTGTTATCAGTCGACTTTGGACACGATACCGAAGCACTGGTACCGTGGCTGAGCGCCATGGAGGACGGTATCGCTGCACCACACGGAGACAAGACCGATACATTCAAATCTTAACTCGAAGAGCTCCAACAATAACCGCCATGATGTTAGCCGTGAGGCTTCATCACTCTTCAGGGAACTTAATTAGCGACCAAACAGTCAGAAACCGCTTGCATGAAGTGAACCTTCATTCCCGAAGACCGCTACGGGTACCACCTATAGCAATGCACAATCGTAGGATTCGATATCAATGGGCTCTTGAACACAGAAATTGGGCAGAAGAACAATGGCGTTTCGTGTGCTTTTCTGATGAGTCTCGTTTTGGTATGAGACCGGATACAAGACGTATACGACACTGGAGAACCCCTGGACGCCAACAGCGATTAAAATCTTGCCAGGAAGTCCATCCTTATAGTGGTGGAACCATCATGGTATGGGCGGGTATTTGGATCGGCGGAAGAACTGAGTTGATTTGGATCAGAGGCAACCTCAACGCTCAAATTTATGCTGAGACGATTGTATCAGACGTCATCGTTCCTCTACAAGTGCAAATCGGTCCCTTATTTCAGTTAATGCATGATAATGCACGACCGCACACCGCAAGAGTTGTAAGACAGACTCTCGCCGCAACTAACATCAATGTCCTGCCCTGGCCTGCTCAGTCGCCAGACTTGAACCCGATTGAGCATGCATGGGATATGCTACAGAGAAGAGCTCTGCCGAATATGGAGGGTATCCAGTCGCAAGAAGACCTTTTTTTGTTGTTGCAACGAACATGGGCGGCCATTCCACAGCGTGATTTGGATGAACTCATTTTGAGTATGCCAAACCGATGTTCTTGTGTTGTTAGTGTTCGCGGTAGAAATACGGATTATTAATTGTTTAAGTTACCCAATAAAATTTTAGAGAAAACTGTTATTTCAGTCTTTTTTTCGAACTTTTGTGTTAGTGGTTCAAATGTCAAAAATCCCTTTATTAGGAAAATGGCAAATTTCTTTATTAATGCAAAGGTGACTTGGTTTATCGTTACTGTGACAAACGAAAACACTTTATTTGATGAATCCTTAAAGAAAATTTTAATTAATATCAATCAGGAGAAAAGTTATTGCAAAAATATATGTTGATCCCTAGACACTTTTGATGTGTGTATTTAATTTAAATATACCGAGTATCACTCTCACACCTAGAAAGATTTTTACTAAACCTCTTAAGCCTAAAACAATTAAACCGTTTAGGTCACATCGCGTGCCAAAGAAATATAAATACATTTGAAACACATAACTATCCTTACGGCGAAGTCAGGTAAAAAGGGTCCAGCAAAGATTTGTTGCCCGGAACACCGCAATGCCTCTATCAATGAAGGAAGTCTTATTCAACGTTATGGTCACAATGTAAAAGTTTTTATAATACTATATTATAAGGTCGACCGCTAACACAAATCACTTGTCAATGGTCAACACTATTGTTAGAGGACAATGATGTTTACGGAGTCACCCATTCAGAGATGCTCGAAATGTGTGTCAATGATGATTCCTATTTACATAACAAACCTTGTGACTATGATATAAAGATATATAATAAACCAGCAATGAAATTGATTTATTTTTAATAATAATCACCATCGGCCTAATAATGTCCCCACTGCTGGGGCGCAGGCCTTCCCTATGGATGGAATAGGGAGATTGGGCCATGGTCCACCACGCAGGCCCAGTGCGGATTGGCGGGTGCTAACGACAATTGAAAATAAAATCCATATATCCAGTATCACTTCCAACTTCATCAGACTTTAGTAAGAACAAGAAAAGATTCTGGTGTAAAAGAATAATTGTCATTGCTGTTAACTGAGCTGTGAAATTTCAAAAGTTTTCCAAATGATATCCATTATCTTCTATAAGTACTTATAATAAATCTGTAGAGTGGTCAATTCTGTACATGAAATATATATTCAAAATAACTATCAGGGGGTGATTAGTGATCGATACTGATGCCAAAAATGCAATCAGTAAAATTTTTGGCTGTCTGTCTGTCTGTCTGTATGTATGTTCCTTATAGAAACAAAAACTACTCGACAGATTTTAACGAAACTTGGTACAATTATTCTTCATACTCCTGGGCAGGATATAGTATACTTTTTATCACGCTACAATCAATAGGAGCAGAGTAGTGAAGGGAAATGTTGGGAAAACGGGAGAAGTTACTCCATTTTTTAAGCTTCCGTCGCGTGTGCAGCCTTAATGGTTAAAGTTACATAGAAATCATGTATGACGGAAATATTCTACATAAAATTGTCAAAAAAATATCCCGCAACAGCATATGTCTATCTTTTATGGTTGACTCACAATAACACGTGTAATTATATAAATAAAGTCATTGTTTATAGCACAAGCCTGAGAACAAAAACTATAGTTTACACTACAGCTCTACACCGAAGCGAAGCGAGGGCGGGCCACTAGTGTTACATATTAATCCGGGGAACATTTGGAAATAGGATGAAGACAGGGTAAAGTAAACGAACTTCTATTTAGTCCGTCAGTAAGATTATCGAAAAATAATGGACACTTAATTTATCTTTTGTCAAGCAACGAAATAATGACAGTAAATTTAAAGCGCGTCAAAGTTTGGGAGTATGGGGCTTATGATGACACTTCTGTGTAAAAATTGTACCAAAACGAATGCGATATTTCAAATCAATAGATCTTTGTAATGTTTTGATTGTGTGAATAAAGATCAAATACGCATCCTATAGTTTGTGATAATCTACCTGATAGAAACAAAGAAAAAAAAACATCATTCCTATTGTGTTCAATGTCCAAATCGCAAAAGTTAAGACTACGATGTAAAATATCTCTAAGTCCTTACTAAATAAATAAATATTTCCAACACACACCAATTAGCCTAGCCCCAATGTAAGCACTGTAAGGCTTGTGTTATGGAATGCTAGTTTAACGGATACAATACATATACTGTACATATATAAGTATATTAATATAGAAATACATATTAAACATCCATGATTGGAGTACAAATGCTCATATTCATCACACAAACATCTGCCCCTCACCGGGATTCGAACCCGGGACCTCTCGAGTCGGCGACAACATGAAACCCGGTGTACGAACCACTCGGCCACGGAGGTCGTCAAACTACTATTTAGGTGATGCGATAAATACTTCTTCAATACCCCACTTCAATTCGGGGCAGGAACGCTGCTGTCCTACTAAGCGGATGTCAAAGACGTTGTTGCAGAAAATAAATGAATATTCGTTATTAATGTTACGGCAGCCCTAGGTGCAAACCTTTGGTGCGAAGGCGGAGATGTTATATTTGAATTATGAGTATTTGTATGAATAAACCAGAAAAGGTTTTGGGGCTTTACATAACCACATTGTTAGTTTAACTTATTAGCAATTCCTAACTT